CAATTTCTGTGCTTCTCTAGGAATCCAAACTCTGATGTTTAACCCTTCGGTGCCTGCAGCAAACTGGTCGGCACCGAACGGCCCTCGCAGGCAAAAGCGCATCTAGATAGAGGCCATTTTCTCCTCTTGTGCATCTGATGAGTGATGGAGGGCGGAGAGATCAAGCTAAAGCCAAGGGGGGGAGGGAACAGAGATATACATATCTCATCTATATAACCCTCACATATATCTCTTTATATGAGGGTTATATATGAGATATATATTATGTGGCACCTGAAAGACTGTATTTTAATGTGAGCTGGTCCACTTCAAGATAGGAAGGCTGCCAACTTGCTCCTCACTCTCCGCTCCTGTGCACTTAATTTATTTGCTTATTATTTACTTATTCATCGCATTCACAGCCCGCCTTTCTAGTAAAAGATTGCACTTAAGGCAGCTTACAAAAGTTTATGAAAGAAAGAAAACCAGCATTTTGCTAAGACCGTAAGAAAATAATCTAAACCCACCCCATGGTACGAGCATTAAAAAAACAGCACTTCAGAGCTGCAGGCTGGTCTGTTTACCAGTATGGTCCCTTGCTTTGCAGTTTTTTTTTTAAAGGGTGGGATTTGATCCAGAATAGTATGATACTGTTATTCTCCTTGATCTGGACACTAATCCTTTTTTATTGCCATTTGGACTCCTTTGGTGGCCACCTCACCCTTTCGCCTTATGTTTGGCCTGCGGTCCTTCAAAACCGCCAGATCCTTTTCGACATGGAAGCCATGTCACACCTGTCTTTTATTCCTCCAACATCTGATTTTACCTGCCTAAATGCAGAACTTGACCTTTTTCTCTGTTTCTTCTGTTCTGGTCCAGTTCTCCGATCCTAGGATCAAGAATCCTGGTCCACATCTTCTGAGATGTGAGCTACCTCTGCTGGCACCAGATTTGATGAACACCTTATCTGGGTTTTTGGAATGGTTTCTATTGACTGTTTTCAAATCTATGTGTTTGATTCTTTTTAGTATTTGTATCCTTACTGTTTTCAGCTTTCAATGTTCTCTTTTAATGACATAAGCTGCCATGGGTCCTGTTTTTAAAAGGAGAAAGGTATTTTAAATAAATAAATAAATAAATGCTCTTGTCCAGGTAAGAACGACATGTAATAGTGAGATTGCCATCTGGCTTTTTGCCCCCTCCCCCCACTTCTATGCATTCAAAATGGCTGCTGTCAAAGAGGTTGCCAACTTGCTCTCCACGTCCTGTTCCTGCTCCCATTTAAGAGCAGCTTAGCTGTGAAGCTGCCAGCTGGGCTCATCCCACTCGAGTTTTTACCAGCTGCTTTAGTGGAAGATTGTCAGCTTGTTCAAGGCTTCCAATCCTGCATCTTTAACAGTATCAAGGAAGTGAACTTGCCACTTTGATTACCAGCCCCAGCTCCTGTGCACTTAACAAAATGCATTGTTTTACAGAGTTTTGGCCAAAATTGTTTATCTTCATGCCACAGAGAGCTACTGTTTCTGATTTCTGCACATCAAGCTAGTACAGTGGTACCTCGCTGGATGACCTCACAAAATGATGAAGCCGCATGACGATGAGGTTTTGCGATCTCTATAGTGATTCGCAAAACAGTGATTCCAATGGGCGATTTTCGCTGGACAATGATTTGGTCCTTGCTTCGTGGACCGTTTGCAAGATGACAATTTTTACAGCTGATTGCCGGCTTTGCAAAATGGCTTCCCTACGTTTTCGGGACCAATGCACAGGACAGCCATTTTAATAGCTGATTGGTGCTTCTCAAAATGGCTGCCCTATGGGCGATCTTCGCAAAACGACAACCATTTTCCCCCATTGGAACGCATTAAACGGGTTTCAATGCATTCCAATGGGGAAATGGTTAGCGCAAGATGATGATTTCGCTAAATAGCAATTTCTATGGAACGGATTATCATCATCATGTGGGGCACCACTGTATACAAAGCACAAGAATAGGCCAGGCCTGTTTTAATGGATAACGAGCAACCCTATATTAGCATCCCGGTTTTGTCACTGCTCTTGCATTTTTCTAATAAATGAAATGTCTTTTTAGAAATTAATGGATATCTATGGAGCTTTTAAAAGTTGTCAGTCTGGCAAATTTATTTTCGTACAAGTTGCACGTTTCATCTTTCCATCGTTTGAATTCAGTGTGTTAAAAATGTTGCGCTAATCTTCCTGGCAAACCATTTGATTTAGACAGACTAATTTTTATTTTATTTTATTTTATCCTGTTTTCAACCACTTCTGGAATATCTAGCTGACATGGCCAGTGGGACATACTGTGGGAACTTTAGTCTCCCTCCCAAAGGGAAATTTTAAAAAATCCCACAAGCAAGAAAAAAACCCTCCCACTTTCCACATCTCTGATTTAAAGTGAGTATGAAGCTTTTGTTTGTTTGTTTTTTGTTTCTGTTTTAATGTCCTGTTCCAGCCTCCCAGCCTTGCAATGTGCCTCCCCTGGAAATCCTCTGCCACGGCCAGCACCTGGGCGCTCGTCTATGGGATGTACACGTCTGCTAGCCTTTATAGATGATTGTGGGGTTTTATATTAGAGATTAGAAAGGAGTTTTCTGGGGGACTACAACTCACCCAAGGAACAGGGAGGGAAGCCTGCCCACGGTTTGTTTTTTGTTTCCATCATCGGGCAAAGAGGCAGTAAAAGCCAAGAGAAGAGCAGCTGAATCAGGAGGAGCTTCCAGAAATGGGTAGCAAGCACACCCTACACAGGAATGTAAATCCCAGCCGCCTCCATGCTGGTCCTGGGGGAAAATCCACAAGCTGCAAAGTATATTTGACTTCTCTTATTTAGTTAAAGTATTTTTACTTTGCCTTTCTCAAAAAAAAATTAAAAAAAGGATCCAAGGTAACTTACATGAATAAAACCACAATATGAAAAGCTACAAACAGAAATTATTCAAATATTTTAAAATAATTAATAACAGGAGCGAGCAAAGTGCTGGGGTGAGGGATACACATGTAGTCTCCCAAGGCTATTTTTGAGGACCCTGGACCTATCCGAATCTCCTGCCACCATCTCCAAAACCCCTCTGCTTACACCCAGCAGTTAGGATGCATATGAACATTCCGTGACAGCCAATGAATGCCACGAACCTTCCTGTCTATGCAAAGATACGGATAGATAAATCCCCTCTCTTACAAAGCATAACAGTTGTATGCCATGGTTTGCCCTGGTGTTCTTTTGCCTATAAAATACAGTAAATGGAACACTCACTTTGTTTTACTTTCCACCACATCAAGGAATAACCCAGGAATTAAAGAGTACGCTGGGAACTGTTCTTCAATTAATTTTTAATAAATATTAGGTCTGGAAATATGTAATTTATAGATGGGGTAGAAGGTCCCAAAAATTTAATAGATTGCAGTTCCCAAACATTTCTGAGAACAGTCTTCAGAAAAACCTCTATACCTGGAACAAGTATCAAATCAAAGTCTGAAGCTTAATAATATGAGACTTCTGCTTTTTAGGTGCAGGTTTCCGATAGCTTAGCAGCTCATTGAAAAAGAAACATGACACAGTTTACACTGAAGGTTAGCTAAATAGCACTCCAACCAAAATACCAGTACCTATAAAACTATACCAGTATAATTTTCCTAAGATCCATGAGTTAAAGAGTAGATCAGTGTTTCTTAACCTTTTTGAAAGAAACGCCCCCTTGAGCCATTGAGGAAGTTATCATCGCCCCCCTCCCGCGACGATGATATATTTTTATTTATTTGTTTGTTTGTTTATTTATTTATTTATGACACTTAAATCCAATGACCCCTGAAAACAAAATTCAATTCCAAGAAAATGCCCCCAAAAAGTAACATTTAATGATTTAGTTGCAAGCGAATTTTAAGACGCAAAAAGAAATATAAAAAGGGCATAAAAACAAACCACAATGCAGGAGCTAAAAATTTCAAGACGAAAACTCTGAAACTAAATTAAGATTGGAGAAAAATATATATTCATGCACACTGTAAAAAGGCTGCAGCCATCTTAACAGGTTTGGCTTGCTCCAGCGCCCCCCTACCGCCCCCTTCTGCTCCAGCGCCCCCACACCG